TGTGAAGCGGAGGTGAGTTCACAATGTCAATGCCATAGTTGTTCCTGAGCATAGACGTGATAGTCTCAGAATTAAAAGCGGCTTCATTGTCGCAATAAATCGTTCTGATGTTTGGAAAAATGTTTATAAGTTGTAGTAGAGGGCCTGTAATGTCAACTATCGTTTTTGATAGTATTGGTTGCACTATTGCAAATTTTGAAAATTTGTCAACGCAAGTTAAAAATTGTTTTTTATCGGTCGAAAATATGTAATGTAACATTACATATATGGTTATGTAACATTTCGCCGGTGTAGCTAGGGACCGGTGTTTCCCCTAGCTCTTGTCTTTTAGGATGCCTGTCGTATTTGGCTTTGGTGCAAACTCTGCAGTTTGCAGCCACTTCCTTGGATAGGCTGCCCATTTTTGGGAAGTAGTAATCGCGAAGGATTTGTTTTACATTTTCTTGTGCTGCCCTGTGCGCACGGTTGTGTTCAGCTGTTATTATCTCTAGCTGTTCGTTTCTGTCAGTTATGTCCTGGACAAAGTTTTTGCAGTAGCGGAATTGGGTATCCGGGAAAAGCAAAATTAGGTCGTGCTGAAAACTAGCTTATGTTGGTAGGTCGCAGTGTATAGCGTTCACGACCCCTGGGTTTACTATCTCTTTGAGTATTTTGATGTTGCTGTTTTTATCAGTGAAGGCTATTAAATGTCGCATTTTGTTCCGGAATAGCACTAAGTTCCGTTTTTGTGGGAAGTGTGCTTTTTCCAGAACAATTTGGTTTCTGAAGCAATTTAGAGGCTTGTCAGTGGCCTCGACCGTGTAGGTCAGTGATAATTCACTGTGGACGGTTGCAGCGTCCGATTGGGGTTCATCGTGCAGAGCGTTGAGGCTTTGCCTCGAAAGGGCATCTGCGACAAAATTTTCTTTGCCTGGCTTGTAGAAGACTTTGGCATTGTGTTGATCAACATATGCTTTCCATCTTTTTATTTTTGCGTTCGTGTTTTTGTCGGCAACCGCAAACGTTAGCGGTTGATGGTCCGTGAAAATGTTAATTTCTCTTGAACTGTACAAAAAGTTTTGCACTTTGCCTAGAGCCCATACAATAGCCAACAGCTCTCTTTCGTTGGTGGCGTAGTTAAGCTCTGCCTGCTTTAGTGTGCGTGAAATCATTGTGATCGGTGTACCGTTTTGGGATAGAACTGCGCCAATGCCGCTAGCAGATGCATCTGTGGTCAGATCGAATGGTTTTTTGAAGTCTGGGTACATGAGCACGACATCTTCTGATGCCAAAATGTTACGCAGACGTTCAAATGCATCGCGTTGAGTTTCATTAAACTCAACGGAAAGTTTTTTTGACATGTGTTTGCTTACTGAGCCGTTTTCCCCTTTTAGTATGTCTGTTATTGGTCGCGCTATGGCGGCGAAGTCCTTAATAAAAACCCTATAATAGCTTGCTAAGCCTAGAAATGATCTGACACTGTAGACATTTTTTGGTTCGGGGTATTCTTGAATAGCTCTGACTTTTTGAGGGTCGGATTTTGCTCCGTCCTTGCTAACTATGAAACCTAAGTATTCTACGCTCTCTTTAAAAAACGTAGTTTTTTCTTGGCTAACCCTCATGTTGGCATCGATCAGGCATTTCAACACAGTATCAATGTGCTGAACATGATCTTTCTCATTTTCTGAAAAAATTATGACGTCATCAACGTAGACGTAACATATTTTCCCAATCTGTTCTCGTAACACATCATCAAGTGCTCTTTGGAAAATGCTGCTTGCATTCTTCAGGCCGAACGGTAGGCGACAGAATTCATATTTACCGCCGATCACCGAAAATGACGTCTTCTCGCGGTCGTGTTCGCAAGGTTCGCTAGAATCATGGGGATGCTGGGCATTGGGTACCGGTCGGGAATGGTTTGTTCGTTCAGTTTCCTGAAATCGATGACCAATCTCTTATTTGGGTTACCAAATTCGTCCGTACCTTTTTTATCAACAACCCAAGTCGGGCTGTTGTAAGGTGACCTCGAAGGCCTGATAATGCCGTCCTTTAGCAAATGTTTGACTTCGTTGTTTACAAAGTCTGTGACACCCATAAGGTGTGGGTAGGCTCTAGAGTACACCGGCTCGTTGTCTACTGTGCGAATTGTGGCAGTGACAGCGGTGTTGAAAGGAAGGGCCTCATTAGCTGTAGAAAAAGCTTTTTTCCTCTTTAGGATCATGTTCCTGAACTCCTTTTTGATGGAGTTGGGAACGACAATGTCATTGACATCAGTGAAATTAACATCAGAACAGTTGTGATACTGTATCATTTCCGATATGCCCTGATATTCTAGACAGTTCTCAGCTAGGTTTAACTTTACTCCGGCTTGTGTTAACAAGTCGAAGCCAATGATGGCGTCAAAAGAGCTTACGGTGTCTAGTAAAAAAAATGGTGAAGTGTGCCGAAAAATGTTCATTAGGCACTTTTGTTTAATCTCAGTAGAGCCATGTATTGAGCTTACTGAGAAAGGTTTGGCGACTGGCATTATGGTTTTTAGCTCCTTTACGGGCTTGACATAATTTTTTGCCGCGCCTGTATCGATAAGCATTTTTAATGTTCTCCCAGCCAACCGTCGTTCAATGAACGGTAACCGGGAGCGTCCTCTAAAAAATGTATCGAGTTTTCACTTGGGGTGTATTCATTATCGCTTTCGATTTCTTCTACTGCAGCCTTTGCTGCCTTTTCATAATCTGCCTTGAGCTCTTTGGAATCTGCTTGGACTACATGGTTTAGACGCTGACGTCTAGGTCCTGACCAGCGTTCTGACGAATTTCTTCGTTTTGGGGCATTCGAATCATTTGCTTGGTTTTTGTTGTATTCAGTGGGATGTCTAAACTTTGAAGACGTGTCGACTTCCATTGGTTGCGGGGCCTGCGCCTGGTTCTCTTTGTGACCTTGTTCTTGGGTGTTGCCCTTTTGGCGTTTAACAAAGTGGGGGTTCCTTTCTTGGTTGTGGTCCTCTTTATTAAATTTTCCTGCTTTGCCGTAGGTACGGCCCGCTCTTCTATAGCTTTAGCATAAGAGCTTGCAAATATGCTCCTCTCAATGCTTGCTTCCGCCTCTCTGGCTAGGGCCAGAGCAGATGGCAAGTCTTTAGGCTGTGCTGGGAAAACTACTGCCCTGAGTGACTTTTTTAGCCCCGAGATGAAAGCGTGTAGGGCATCGGCTCTAACCTCAGCGTTGAGCAAGTCTGCGCCCTCCTGCTCATGCGACATTACAATTTTGTTGGTCACTAAGGTGAGTTTCTTTTCAACCTCATCATAGTACTGCATGAGCGACATGTCGCCTTGTCTGACCATGTCTAAGCTCTGTCTTAGTAAGCGTAAGGAAGTCTTGTCCGAGTATGTGCAATCTAACCTTGCCAATATGGCGTCAAAGTTCAGCACAGTGTTATGGGACACGAGCAGTGCTCCAGCTGCGCCTCGAATTTTGTTTCGTATTATGGCAACAGCCTGGTAGTGGGCACTGCTGCCGTTATGTGGTTTGAATAGTTCATAAGCATAGATGGCTGCTTGCCTCCATGCTACGTATTCATCCTGTGTACCTGTGAATTCCGGTACAGATTTGATTATGTCCAGTGGAATGTCGCACTGGACACCGGCTATGACAGTTATTTTCTCATACGTTATAATTTGCGGTGCTTCCACCCGTAGGCTCTGTACCTGGGAAGCTAGTGAGTTTATTTGTGCCTGCAATGCTGATTGCTGTTGGGTCAATGCCTGTTTGACGGCATCCTCAATAAGCCGTTGAACCAAAGTAGGGTCCATGGTGTTATCTATCGGATCAACTTCTAACGACTGGTCTGTTCTGGGGTTGTATAATTCTGCTTCCCAACTGTCCTCGCTGTCGTACTCTTGTTTTATTACCCTCCAGCTCATTGGCTATTGATTGACACTACACGAATATTTGTTTGCCGATAAAAAACAATCGGCAGCCTTGTGGGCTATAAGGTTGCTCTTGTGGAAGATATAAGGTGTATTTAAGCAAATGATATTAGGTTTTCCTATTTGTGTTAGACCGCCCCTATTAAAAGGTAAGGTGTCTTACGGTCAGCACTAAAATTCATTCTAATTGAAAGTATGCAATATAATATTTTTAAATGTTTTGATAAAAGTATGCAGCAGAAAAAATTTTTTAGTGCAAAAAGTATGCAATATAATATTTTTAAATGTTTGGCAAAAGTATGCAGCAAAGATTTTTTGGTGTAAAAAGTATGCACTTGAAAATTAATTTTACGTTAATTAAATGCTGCAAAAGGCAAATTATGTCTGTCACAAAATACTTCTGAATTATGCCGAAAATTCGATTTTCGAACTTACATGTTATAACAGTGAGTTCTATTGTCGTTGGGCGCCAATTATATTTAGTCTATGTAATCCCACGAAGTCCCAGTATCTTGTCACCGGACGTTACGCTGGATGTAATTCCTAGAAGGCACGGGTAGAGTGTCTTCGTGTGTTAGATGTTGTGATGGCGGCAGCGTCTTTTGCCGTCCAGTGGGTTTTACAGATGAACTGCAGTTAATTGGGTATGACGATTACGTTGGGGAGATTACTGCTCCCAATCACTGGCCTTGTGGCTCAGCAATTATATCAAAATAATATCAAAGTCAATTACGGCTTGTGCCGGAGCAATGTTTATTATCTGAGCGTAGGCTTCAAGATCTTTTTCAAAACTAAAACTAAAGTACAATATTCTTCTCCTAGAACCGTTGAAATGTATCACGCCACAAACTGGTCGGCAAGCCGACTCAGCATTTTTGTGCAGCGCGGCGCGGCACTCCAAATAGGAAGTGTTCCCTTACCGCTGCTGGCCGTTCTTTGCGTAGAGCATTGAACTCAAACTGGCGCATCAGCATTTTCACGCAAGCTACTTAGTTACTAGGGCAGAATTGTATTTTACTTAACTTAGCTGTTAACTTACACTCGTGTAAAATTATTTATTTATAAGATAGGCGACACTTTATAGAAATTTATTACCTGCTTGTTATCTTCCATATCATTAAGCGTCTTATCGTCGGATTCACAAGCACCATATGATTTTGATTGTGCTTTTAACGTTTCGCTTTTACAATTACTTTTATCCGTGTTTGCTAGTACCCAAAGAGGAATTTCTGCAAAACTGGTTAATGTAAATGTCACGCACGCAATAAAAATAATTGTTATTATAGAAAAAACGGCTTTTACGTGCCCACCCAAACGTTGTCCTGAAATCATACATTAAATAATACTAGAATAATCTCAATTGTATATACCTTACCGATTTCCGTTTCATCCCAATTAACGCCTCCCATTGAATAACCAAAAAATCCTCCTAGTCCTGCCATTATGGTGAACGTGGATAAGCCTCTTGCTTGATCTTCTGGTAAACATACGTCTAACAGATAAGCTCTGGCTGGACTTTGACAAGCATCAGCATCAAAGTCGAGGAGGACAGTTCCTAATATGGTAAAAAATATACCCCAAGAATGGGAAGAGTTTGGTGGCGAATTGTGATTAGAAGAGATATTTTTTAAATTGTTAATTTCTGAAAACGTATCTGGTGAATGTAAATTTTCATCTCCAAACCAATATCCCAACGTTTCGCCGTTTGGCACCAAAAGAAGACCTTGGGGTACAAAAAATTTTGTTAACTTATTGTTGTATATTTATAACAGTAGCCCACGTCGCCGAACGTCGCCGAACAGCAAATTTCTCTGTTGGCGATTACAGACACATGGACCTTATAACTGCTGCGAAATCACTCATTAGTAGACATGTTCAACAAAAGGTTATTAAATAAAGATACATTAATTTAGTCTTGCAAGAAAATCAGGGTGAAAAGCTTATGGGTGACCAATGTGATTTTATAATAGGAATATTTTACCATATTTTTTATATTTTATTTATTTAAGCAGATTAATAATACGCAAACACGTAAAGAGTTAGGTTCTTATCTTGGCTTATTGTTCCTTTGGGATCTATTTTCGATATGTTTTCTTTGTTCTGACTAAAATTTTCTGTTCAGTATTCTGTATTCTGTTCAGTTCAGTATTGAATCACATTCCCAATCGGACACCTCGTTTATTGACATAACATTGACATAAACATAATTTTTTCTAGGGCCTTAGATAGACATATAGTGGAGGAAAGAGGCCAATTAAATTGTGTACATAACATTGCTTGTTTTCATGGATTAACCTATGCTTATGTCAACTTTTAGGCTTAAGGAATCGTCAACGTGCTCAGATTAGGGTGAGCGGAGCATATGCTCGCCGAACCTCCAGTTCCATCTAACTGACTCTCCGAGCTTATGCCAATTCGACGCAGTACGTCTGCTATGAGTCATATTGAAAGAGCATTATATGTAATCGGGGTGCCAGGATTTAAAAAAAATGCGCTAAGACACATTCGATTCTTAGAACTTTAATCGCTCTTACACTTCCAGTGTCAAACTATGTGCAGCGAAGTCGCTCACAAGAAACTTATTGTTCGAATCGGAAATTTCTGGGAGTACATGAGGCTTTAAAAGGTCTGATAATTGATCACGCGACCTCTTTTTCCAAATGGGCATACACCCGACCGAATACAGAGGTGGTCGAAAGTATTTACACAACGTGCTTTTTTTTTTTCAATTGTCAACTTTGATCGCTTATTGCTGCTGCTTTTATACTCAGAAACGAACATAACGGTATTTGTCGTGCTTCTACATCTATACAGAAGCAAACGAAAGAAGAAGTGGAAAAAATAACTATTCATGGGCTAAAATTAGAAGCATTGAACTGATGCTTGTCTGTTGTCAGAAGTATTTACACACAATTTTTACGAGTACAATGAGTACAAAAGCAGCAGCAATAAGCGACCAGGATGTCATACTCAAGTACCCCGACTTCCAAAAGCCCTTTGACCTCACCACAGGTGCGTCAGCAAATGGCATTGGTGCAGTCCTATCACAAGAGGGTAGGCCAATCACCATGATTTCCCGTACCCTGAAACAGGCTGAGCAAAATTATGCCACAAATGAGAGGGAATTGCTAGCCATTGTATGGGCCCTAGGTAAACTACAGAATTTTCTGTACGGCTCCAGGGAAATCAATATTTTCACCGACCACCAGCCTCTCACGTTCGCTGTTACCGACAGGAACACGAACGCTAAAATTAAGAGGTGGAAATCCTATATAGACCAACACAACGCCAAAGTTTTCTATAAGCCTGGCAAGGAAAATTTCGTGGCAGATGCCCTTTCCAGGCAAAATCTTAATGCCTTACAAAATGAGCCCCAGTCAGACGCTGCAACTATACACAGCGAGCTCTCCCTGACCTACACGGTCGATACCACAGACAAACCTTTAAATTGCTTCAGAAACCAGATCATTCTGGAGGCAGCACGTTTCCCGCTCAAGCGGAACCTAGTGCTGTTCCGAAGCAAATCTCGCCACTTGATCAGTTTTACTGACAAGAGTTGCCTGCTAAAAACCCTCAAAGAAGTTGTTAATCCTGACGTCGTGAACGCTATTCATTGCGACTTGCCCACACTAGCAAGCTTCCAACACGACCTCATTACGCACTTTCCAGCCACTCAATTCCGTCACTGCAAGAATGTCGTGTTAGATATAACCGACAAAAACGAACAACTTGAAATCGTCACTGCTGAGCACAACCGTGCGCACTGAGCCGCGCAGGAAAATATTAAACAAGTCCTTCGAGACTACTATTTTCTAAAAATGGGCAGCCTGACGAAGGAAGTGGTAGCTAAGTGCAGGGTATGCACCCAAGCAAAGTACGACAGACACCCGAAGAAGCAAGAGCTCGGGGAAACGCCCATACCCAGTTATACTGGCGAAATGGTGCACATCGACATATTTTCAACCGACAGGAAGCTGTTCCTGACGTGCGTCGACAAATTCTCTAAGTTTGCAATAGTGCAACCTGTTACATCAAGAACAATAGTGGACATCACAGGCCCCCTATTGCAGATCATTAACCTTTTCCCAAACATCAAAACTATCTATTGCGACAACGAACCCGCATTCAGCTCACAGACAATCACATCCTTGCTCAAGAACAACTACGGCATCGACATCCTGAATGCGCCTCCGCTTCACAGCGTGTCTAATGGCCAAGTTGAACGGTTCCATAGCACCTTGGCAGAAATAGCCAGATGCCTGAAGTTAGACAAAAAAACTAACGACACAGTAGAGCTAATCTTGAGGGCCACGGTGGAATATAACAAAACCGTGCACTCAGTTACTCGTGAGAGACCAATTGAGGTTGTTCACTCAGGGGCCCACGAGCGCTGCCTAGAAATCAAGGCAAGATTGGTAAAGGCACAACAAGACAGCATCGGAAGATGCAATCCATCCCGACAAAACCGTGTGTTTGAGGTAGGAGAACGCGTGTTTGTAAAGAACAACAAGAGGTTAGGAAATAAACTGACCCCACTATGCACGGAACAAAAAGTGCAAGCAGACCTGGGAACGTCTGTTCTTATTAAGGGGAGGGTGGTCCACAAGGACAACCTCAAGTAGGCATTCCCCTTGCAGTTAGTTAGTAGGTTACTTTAAGAAAGCACAAGCGCTGGAGTCTCACCCTATATCTAAATTCCAGGTTTGCCCTCATGATGTTCATTACCCTGGCAACAGCGAATGCCCGGATCACCGACTTTTCGCATGCCAACTACATCCCTGTCGTAGATGGTGATGTGCTGGTTTTTGAACAGCGTGACCTCTTGGGGCACTCGAGCAACCTGTCCGAATTCGCCTTTATGATAGACGAAACAGAAAAATTGTCCGAGTCTTTTCCCCAATCGCATATGCGTAAGTTACTAGAGGTCGATACTGACCATCTTAGAACTTTGTTGTCCGTCCTCAAAGTCCATCATAGGATTGCTAGGAGTTTAGATTTCCTAGGAACAGCCTTAAAGGTAGTGGCGGGTACTCCCGATGCCACGGACCTTTTAAAGATTAAGATCACAGAAATTTACAAGACCAATAAAAAAATAAAAATACCACAACATTTTTCAAAAGTGTGTTCCTGACAGTTTTGTGCGGTTTGTGGGCGTTAGAGTGGGCGTGGCAACATTTGGAAATAAATTTTGCGCTGAGTCTATGTCTCTGGAAACTGCATGCTTAACCTCAACATTGTAGCTTTTGTAGTTCCTGAAATCGAGGCATTCATACGGACAGACAGACGGACATGGCCAGCTCGACTCGGTTATTTAACCTAAACAAGAATATACATATATACCATAGGGAACGCTTCCTTCTGCCTGTTACAAACTTTTCAATGAATCTAGTATACCCTTTTACTCTACGAGTAACGGCTATAAAGGCAATAGAGAATGCTATAGTCAATTTTCCCACTATCAGCTACACGTTACTAAGCTAGTGGAAATTTCAACATATTTCTGGAACATCGCTAGAAATTAAAGTTAAAAGAGCTTTCCCCGAAAGAACACACAAAGTTCTAAAGACATACCTTTATGGCAGAAAGTTTGCAGTGCGGTGCATTACTGCTACTTTAACTGATACATAAAATTGTGGCTTTGGGGACTCCAGCAGCGTTCTTGAACCAACTTTATACCTCATATATACAGCCGACATTTCTACAAAAAGTGGCTTAACGGTACGGTTGAACAACATACCCCGAAAGCAGATGAGGTAAATTACCTAGGAGTACACCTTGGCAGTAGACTCACATGGCGCAGGCACAATGAATCCAACAAAATTCGTCTTAAACTCAACGCCAACTTACACTGGATCATCAATGCTGGCTCTTCGCTCAGCCTAGACCACAAGGTCTTACTCTATAATACTGTATTGAAACCTATCTGGACCTATGGCTCACAGCTAAGGGGCAATCCCAGCAACAGCAATATTGACAACATAGAATGGGCATGATCAAAGATCCTGAGAACCATTACTGGGGCACCGTGGTACGATCGGAATAAAAAAATTCCAAAGAGACTTAAATTTTCCACCAGTCATCAATGCAATCACCGAACAAAAAATACCATAGGAAGCTTTTCCCGCACCCTAACCTCCTAGCGAGAGGTTTAACACAGCTGAGCAGTCGTTCCCGTATCCGTCGAAAGTACCTACAAACCCAGCGAATACATTTTTAGAGACGTCTTATCGTAGAACAGTTTGATAAATAAAACAATTGTTCAGAAAAATATTTTATCATTAAGATTTTCAGTCATTTCAGTTCGCTCTGCACTTGTAAAATGCCGTTTTCGAGAGACAATGTCCCCTCTGGACACGAAATCTTTAGTCCGCCCGACTTTAAGTGGGATGAGGTCTACTTGACTAGAGTATTTCCATTGTCTACTCCCGTTATCGGTTGTATTGACAAAGTCTTCCCACCTAGGGAACATTATTCCCCCTTATTTGGGAGACAATGCCGAACTGATGAACCCGTCCCTCTGCTTCAGATTCTTGGCTGTTTGATGTGTGAATCTTCAAAGTCCTACGATCTTATAAAAAGGTCGTACGTAACAGCCTCAATCATAGTGGAATTACAATAATTATTTATTTATATATAACGGAGTGCCATTTATCAGTAAAATAGTAAGTGCAACAATTAAAAAATGATTACTGGACCTAATATTGGACTATACCTCTATTAGGT